CGGTTGTCTTGTCTATTTCGTCGAATGTAAACAAAAAATATAGTCCACTCTGATCGACAAACATTCCAACTAGTTGTGTGTTCTTGCAGAGAACTGACTCCACCAGAAACGGATCGTGTGTCGGTAATTGTATTTGTGTACGTAAGTGCATATTCTTCATGCATTTATAAACATCTTATGATATTAGATCAGTTGGACGTTTTTGATGACAGAATGAAGTATGTTTGAGTATCTATGCGTGCGTGTGTGTGCCAAATTCAAACTTTCTGAACCGTGATATCCCCCCCTCCCCACGCACACTCGTTCTCAACTGTGTGCCCCTCACCTCCACCTTCGCATTATCCTCAAACGCCTCAGGCCAAGCGGGGGCAAAATGTCTAATTGATAATTGACATTCGTCAACATTCTCTGTACATCTTATCTATCCATCCATCCATCTATCTATCTATCTATCTATCCATCTATTTATCTATCTAACTATCTATCAGTCTCTTTGATCACGTGATTTTCATATTCTTCATTCCCGCGTCCGTTTTTCTGCTCAGATGCGAACAGAAAGAAGGCAAACTTGTAAATAATTCACCCCCCCCCCACTCCCTCCGTCTTCCCCGCGCTTTCCGGTCGTCTTTCGGCCTGATCCCACCTCACCTATGTCGTCTTCTTTATGTGTATGTATGTACATCCAGGTTATCTCGCATCGATGTATCCATCCGTAATGAGTTTTGTCCGGCTTTGAAGTTCCATGATCCACCGAGGCCATCACACTCTAGTACTACTACTACAACTAACTGATAGATTACGGTGACAGATGTTCCTTCTAACGTGAAGGAGCGATTCTGTGAGAGACAGAACGGGATTCTCTTGACCGTTGACTTTGCCTATCCCTTCCTCCCTATGTGCGTGTGCTTGTATGTGTTCGTACGTGCGTGTGTGAGAGCATACATGTGGACTTCATCTTTAATTGTGATTTCAACTGAACCAATCAATCACTTTATACGCATATTTGTCTATCCATACATGTGTTTCCGTACACAGGTGTTTGTTTTTATCTCATCTAACCGTGCTCTACTCCGTTCCACATTGTTTGAGTTCAATGAGATCAACTCTGATTTTGGGTGATTGAAATTCCGACCCTATGGAACAGGAAAGGTACTCATTAGAGCAGCTTTAAAGAGCAAGGGAGAAACAGGGCCAAAATATACATCAACAGCCTCTCTCTCTCTGTGTGTTTTTCAATGTAACCTGGTTGCACATAGCACATCACTTAGCCACCGATCAGAATGCGAACTTTGGGACAATCAGGACCTCATCTTGCCAATCACGCCAAATGTTTTGAACATTCCCACTCCACCCTATCCGCAAACCGCACCATCGACGTATGCAGTTGTTTTGTGAGTCAATCGATGGAACAAAATCACATGTCGATCATCACCACATTGCCCGGGGACTAAAATCAGCTGGCGCACCAAACGTACCTAACCGGATACTGTTCATTATGAGAAAGCTAATTTGTGTCATTCAACGCATCTTATCAGATTATTCTCGGGCAAAAGCCGGAAGTGTATCGTCTTATCACGCACGCGTGTGATGAATGATTGACAAATATTGTCCTGAAAATAGCATAGATTTTTCGAATTAGGCAAGTTGATAAGTTTTTCTTCATCCCTCTTTTTCAAATCGTTGATAATTTATCAATAAATGTCATAATCTATCCAGCAGGAGGAATACTGAAGTTGGGAATAATCGATCGTCGTAGTTTTTGCACCAGACGGTCATATATAAATACAGAAAGCAGTATGGCTACTTGATTGACTGAATACAGGTCATTGTTGTATGAAAGCAACAGGTGGTAGGAGAAGGGGGAACCCGCAGCACACACACGTCCGTGATACCACGGTGGAAGCCCAGAAGAGATGGAAGGCCATAGGTCAGAACGGAGTATGGAAACGGAAGCTGACCCGCGCATTGATTAGAATGTTGATAAGCTGCACGGGTTTCCTTTCCGATTCCATCATATTCCATCCATCACTGACGGTTAGCTTTGTTCCTCTGGGACACCAATCAGCCTTGGATCAGTCCTCCTCTTTTTCCCCATGGTGATTTTTTCCCATTGACTCCGTCTGACTACCAGTCTGCCATGTGTTCGACAATGTGCTCAAAAATTGTTGCCAGGATTCTGATACCCCTATAATTACTCGCCACTGTAACTGTCCTAAAATGAGTTGCTATCAGTCACATAAACATCTGCACTGTGCTTCTCTCACATGCAGAACTGTCTACCTTATACAGTATTCACAAAAACTGTGTTTTACCTTTTCTAAAAGCATACTTCATTGCCCTGAGGAAAATAAACTAGGTCTATCGATTCGTGCCATCTGAAAATACCAGCTGCTATACAGTGCCTTCTTTGGTCCATTTACAAGTTAACTCATCTATAAAAGAGAAATGTGTTATACCTCTATTTGGCGAATGAAATCTCCTCTTACCGAATAGTTGTTTTACCCAACCTATCGCTTTCGTTTATTGATCAACCTATACGACGATGATTTCCACTAAGAGACAGAGAGAGATCGGCTGTCAGGCAACATGGTCATTAGACAGGTTCTGGGTACAGACTGCATTACAGTGCATCATTGAACAGGCATATTATTCCGTAATCGGAAACAAAGTTATGATGATGATGATTCGGATGATGATTGGGATGATGATGATGATGATGATGATGATTGGGATGATGATGATGATGATGATGATGATGATGATGATGATGATGATAATGAGAATGAGAATTGTCTCGAATACGTTCGCACATTTTTCTGATGTGATCATACTGATCTGATTGAGAATGACCGAGGATAACGCTGTTCGCAATTTCCCCAATAGAACTCTGATTAACGTGTATCATATTGAACAAAATAATGTCCTGTTTTCTGGATTATGCTCGCATTGGAATATGCTGCACCAATTCCGGGTGATGGATTGTGTTTGTCTATTGGGTTGGCATTTAGTTACAATTTGAATGTGAAGTGGGAACCAAGGATGAGGACGTGTGTGTGTGTGTGTGTTTGTGTCCTCAATTTATTAATTCGATGCTCGCCGAGACGTCAGTTTTATCACGCTGGTCGTGTACCGCACGTTTCCCCCTGACTCTACGGTATTACTTGGGGAATTTGGTTAACTTTGCATTGTTTAACCGGGTTTGCGGTGACAGGTAAAAAAAAACCCATGTTCAACAGAAACTGCACAAAATAAGATATGGATGTACGGGGTAAAATTGAGTAGATCGAATAGATCACTTGTGTGCAAGATTTTGTTGCAAATAGTGTTGCGTTTGTTTCCCTCCCCCCATCCCAGTCTGACGGGACCTATCGAGATTGTTAAGCATGTTAGAACGAATGTGAGAACTGAACAATGATGCAAAGAATAGGTGCAAAATTATCAGACATTATTGTTTCCCAAGACCGGTAACTTGAGGTTGTTTCATTTTTGGACGCAACCAGTGATGCATAAGAGATTTCCTTTTGTTTGAGGACACGAG